AGCAGACAGGTTTTTGTAGCAGTCTGTCTCACTGTGAGAAACAGCTACTACATCTTTGGCTCTGGAACTAAACTGTCTGTAACAGGTAAGAACAAACATTTCTTTTCCTTCAGTTGTTTTATTGTAGAAGCTGAAAATGTGTTTAAAGTCAGTTTCTGCTGCTTCAGGCTTTACATGTTAGTTTTCCATCATTAGTAGAGAATTCATCTGCAGCCATTGTTACATAAGAAAAGCTCAATCTCTGAAAACATGTTGAAATCTCACTGAACAACTAAAGTTATTCTTTATTTCTGCAAATATTAGTGATGTTACAAATATTTAGGATTTGATCCTCTCAGTGATTCTGCACCATAAAGATTTTTTAAGAATTTATTGAAGCAATTTTAATAAATATGAAAACTGAAAGCAAAATTATATTAAACACAACTTTTACATAATTGTTTTTAACTTAAGACATATCATTACAAATTCTAACACGCAAATCGTAATGCTCATTTTCATTTTAAACATATATGGCATAGGTGTTTGTTAGAATAACTGTTGCTTACAAGTTTATAAAAAATGTAAAACAAAATCCAGACACAAAAAAGTTTATTTACACTGCTGAGTTTTGTTTTTTTGTTTTTGTTCTTTACAATGATCTGTTCTCCTAACAACATGACTTCATAAATATTATTTTTCTACTCCCTCGGAGTACTCAAAGCGCTCTATACAACATGCCGCATTCACCCATTCTCACAAGCCCTTTATCTATACTTACTTAGTGCTTTCTAACTACAATCACACACATTCACACTCCGATGGATGCATCGGAGAGCAACTCGGGGTTAGTATCTTGCCCAAGGATACTCTGCATGCAAACTGGAGGATCGAACCACCAACCTTCCACTCAGTGGGTGACCTGCTCTACCTCCTGAGCTACAGCCACCCCACCATATATTAAAAGAATGAAGCTCCAGGCTGGTAATGGACAAGGAGAAGTGTGGTGTATGTTATGAAAAGGCTGTGAGCCCACACCTACAGCCAGTTTAGAAGTCAGTCTAACATACTTGTCTTTTGAATGTAGAAGGAAACCTGAGTGGACAGAAAAGGACGACACAAGCACCAAGTATACATGTGACCACACAGCAACCACCATCAGGTTTGAACCCAGAACTTTCTTACTTCATGTGCTAACCACCACACCAAAATATCACCCTTCATCTTTTCAATTTTACTCAAATTTAATAACAGGAAAAAATGGTCCAAACTGACATTTTATTTAACATTTCAAAAGTATTTTGTTTTCCACATGTGAGCCATGATGACATGAGGTGATGACTGTGTTTGATATGAAGCTGAATCCAGTGTATGTAGTGAACTTTGTGCTGATGAGTAGTTTAGTGATCAGAGTCCATGTAGTTTCCAGGATCAGACTGAATGCAGTGCAGTGCTGGAAGCTGCTGCTGACTGTGTGAATGTGTGTCTGTGCTGCTTGTTGCTGCTTCAAACTTCTATTTCTACCCAACAGGACCCAGAGTCCACGTGGACGGGAACAGCTCCCTGCTGTGTGTGCCCCCAGGCATCTTTCCTTTTCTGGTCCAGCTGTCATGTAGAAACCAGACAAGGAACGGCCGACTGAAGCAGCTGCCCCCTGCTGACGGAGAGCAGTCAGAGCTCAGAGAGTCGAGGCCCTACTCTCCCATCTTAATGACCCATGAAAGCAGCACCTATGAATGTGACTGCTACATAAAGCACAGGGGGAAGCTCCAAACACAACAAGGTAATGAAGGCTTGCTGACTGTGTTCAGCAGTGATTCAGCTTCATGTGGAGATGCTGTCAAAGAGAGCAGAGCAGCAGAGGACTGACATTTCTCACTGCAGCTCCAAACATTTATTTTTTTGTTCTTTTCATTGCAGATTATGTGCCATCTATGTTCGAGGTGAAGTCGATCTACATGCTGTACACAGTGCTGATAGTGAAGAGTCTGGTGTACTGCTGTGGACTCTCTCTGCTGATGATGCTCACAAACAAGGGAGCGTCCACCAACTGCACACATGCTGACTGACTGTTTCCTGCTCGCCTTTTCTCACCATCACATCTCATCAATTCATCTCATTCATCACTTTGATCAGTGTTGTGTTTATGATGTAGTTCATTCCGCTTCTATTCTGCTTTTATATTGCATTTTTACGCACACTGTATTCTAAAGTAGTATATATATGGACAGTTACGGATCAAATGGAAATTCCTATAATAAACTGATCACTGATCAAAATAAATGTGATTGTTATTGTCTAGTTATTTTGATTTTTAATTTGGTCATGTATCCTAAAACAAAAAAATAAAGCTTCATATTTTATCATTGTTATAGTTACATTATTGTCCAGAGTGAGTTTTTTCATGCATTCAAAAAACTTGTTAACACTTGTTTGTCACATTTACATCTTTAGTTTTAAATTATATCCATTTCCAAACAGAACTCCTGCATCAGAAGAAGACAAAAGTCAAATGAATGATCCAAATGTACTAAAACATGTAAAAGATTTAAACACAAATTTTAACCTCAATCATCTGAACTGTGACTGAATAGGTTTTTACATTCTGTGGATGAAACGTTGGTCAACAGCGACACCTGGAGTTGTTTTGTATGTCAGAGAACACCAGACCTGTGCTTCATTAATACTTAGTGATACTTTTTTCAGTGATACTTTTTTCAAAATACAATTTTGAAAATATTTTAAAACAATAATGAAATAATTATGATCACAACACCTCACACTCAACATTTACTTTTGTTTTTTGTTTGGTATATATTAAAATGCTTGACATAACTGGCAGATGTGAAATGTAAACATGAGGTCAGAGGTCAAATGTGACATGACATTTGGATGCAGGCCACATGTGAGGTCCAGAATCCTCGTATTACTTGCTAAATGTTGCCAATACACACAAAGGCAGCAGCATTTTAAGCATTAATCCTAGAGCTGAAAGACATTTTATGAAAGTTTGACATTATTTGACCTTGAAGAAGAGCTCAGAGGAATAAAATAATGTGAAATTCAGGATCTCCATATATATATATATATTCTCTATATGCTGTCAGCGCAAAAAATGACATTAAGAGACATAGTTTTAAATAACTTTACATACCATTATCATAACTTTGACCTTCAGATCGATCTATTGACTTTGAAGGTCAGAGGTCAAATATGATATTTTAAACCTTTACACTTTACTTTCTCTAAGCTGACACGGCACTTGTGTTTCTTGTAGGTTATGAGGCTTTATGTAAATATTTTTATTTTTTTATTTATGTATTTTATAAATCATTAAGCTGACCTTGAACATGACTTTACTCTACAAAGCTGAAAAATAAGTTTTAATTGTTAATTAATTGTTAAGCTTTTTTGTTTAGGGACAGAATGACACACACACACACGCACACACACACACACACACACACACACACACACACACGAGTGCTACCAAAAACACACTGTCCTTATTACATAATAACACTAATAATAATAATAATGATAATAATAATAATAATAACAATAATAATAATAATAACAATAATAATAATAATAACAATAATAATAATAATAGTAATAATAATAATAATAATAATAACACTAATAATAATAACAATAATAATAACAATAATAATAATAATAATATAAAGGATTTCCTGTATCTGTCTGCATGTGTCATATTAACGACACTTCATGTTAGAAGAAGTAAATATGTTTCAGTAAATAAGGTGCAAAAGATGTTTTTAAATATTTATGAACGGAAACAAAGAGACTGTTGGTGAATGCGCACAAATGTTTTCTTCAGCTCGAAGAAGTCTTTGTTTTTCTAAGAATGAGGCAACAACGGGACTTTTGTGATTCTGTATCGGGGGTTTCATGTTCTGTTGATCTGATAACAGGAACAGATGTACAGGAGGCCTTTTTGTAAACCCTCCCATATGAAGGTAATAACACAAAAATGTATTAATTAATTAAATTAAATAAACAAGAACACAAACGACTGCACTAGTTTAAAAAACAAAGGTTGGACAAATGTGATATCGTGCATAAATTGTGACATGTGTTGATTGTTATACGCAGCTGTATATGTGCACAGTGGTTATTATTATGTAAGGTTTTCTTTAATGTGTCACTTTCTTTCATTGTAAATGGTCACCAACGAACTCTTGAGGGGTTTTTCACCTCTTCTTTTATTTCATCACAGTTGTTTTGAACTCATCTGTGAGTTGTTTCTCTCACTGATTAAAAACACTGATCATTGCAGACGCAGCTGAAATCAGACCGAGTTCCTGGAATCGTTCTTTAACCAGTGCGTGTAACTGTCAACATATCATTAAAGTGAAAAACCGCAGCTAACGGTGTGGCGGCTGCAGCGCCGAAACCCACGCAGCCCATCTGCTGCACGAGGAAGGAAGTGCTGATGCACTGAGAACAGATTCACATGCAAGAGCTCTTTTTTCCACTGAGCCCCCTCCACCCACTCAGTTACACTCACACAAACAATATTAATGACCCACTTTCAGTTGTTTTTGACCAAGTGATACGAAACCAACAAACCCGCCGTACATACTAGATGGCTATGATCTGAATATAGTCGAATACTGAGAATATGAATTACCTAGAAGTTAAATTATCATGAAATAAATGAAGATATCTGTCATATTTATGGTTTGTTGACTCAGGATGTGTTGTGCTCGGTCATGACTTCTCCCTCCAGCAGCCTTTTGTCTCGAGACCACTGCTGTGAAACGGCCTTGCATAAATAAACTTGAATTATTTGAACAGTTCAGATTAAGTCTGTAAAATCTGTTTATAAATTCATGCTTGAAGATTTATTATTTGTTATTTGAACCAGATCACAGATTTGGACGGTATATTTTCTGTATAATATTTTCACTACTTGAAAGTCTGTTTATTTCTTAACTTAAAATTGTAAATTTAAATTTTAGAGGAAAAATTAAAAATGTTTTTCTGGTTAGTCTAAATAAGTCCAATTCTGGCCCCCGGGCCTCATGTTTGCCACCCTTGGTCTAAAGGTTAATCTAATTGAAAAGACTCGGTAACTTTCTTAAAAAAAACTTAAGTGAGTTCTCAATTTGCTTTTGTTTTACAGTAAATAAAATATTTTTGTACTTAAAGAACTGATTTTGTTAGATGTGGGTTAATAATTTTCTGTTCACTGTTACTGATGCTTTAAATGTTGTAATGTTTCTGCCACATTAAAGCGAACTCAGAGAAACTGCATAGGAATCAAAAATAAACCATATATGAAAAACTTTATTAACAAGTATTACAGACTCAATTTTTTTGAGCTTCCTGTTTATTTTTGGCCATTTTATTTCTCTATGAATCAGTTATTATATTCGGTTAAGTCAAAAATATCAAAATCTGATTCTAAAGAAATATTTTACTGGTGTTTACAACAAACTATAAAGCTTTTCATAGATTTTTCATAGGGAATTACTCCACAATAATTATTTTTGTAAGCTTACTTTGCTACAGAAGACATAAAAAATGAAAAACGATATTTCAAATAATTTTTTCTTGAAGAAAGTCTCGTGCAGAAATAGATTTATTAAAATTTGACACTATAAAAGAATAATTCAAACAGACAGAAGTAAATCTGTAACAGCTGAAAGCTGAAAATAATAAAAAAGAAGATGTTTTCTCTTACAGTAACAAAAAAGTATTATTAATAAAACAATATTTAAAATATGAACGACATAAAATTACTAAAAGCTGCTTTTGTACGAATGTGTTTTCCTTGGCACAGTCTGTTGCTGTCTATAAAACACAACAAGCTGTTGAACTCCAAACACAAGCAAAGTATTTTTGTTTTTAAAAATTAATAACAGCTTCTGTTTCATGTGTGCGATAGATGACAGGAAGTTTTCTCATGAGGACAACTGTGTACAAAACTCTAATTATCTACAATAAATCACATTCATTGTGAAGGAATATGTCACGCAAATGCAAAGTATTGCTGACAGTGAACATTTCAAGTTTGTCAGTAGCATAAATTCATCATGTTTAATTTAGCGGAAGTTTAATTTTAATGTGATTGAGAGATAAAAGCTGTATAAAGACAGTCAGTTAGCAGGTGTGCTGTTGGTTCTTTCTCGTGATCCCGAGCAGAGAGAGTCCACAGAAGTACGCCAGACTCTTCGCTATCAGCACTGTGTACATCAGACACAGCAGCCTCTCTTTAAACCAGCGTGGGGGAGGCGGTGGGGGAGGAGAAGGTCCTCTAATCTCTGTAAAAGAAAAGGAAAGAATTAACAAAGTCATGTCAGTGACCTTCTCCTCTGCTCTCTGAATATTCTCTGAATGTTGAATCACTCAGTCATGAAGTGTTAGTTACCTATTTTGTTTTGGCCGGTCACTTTGCCTTTCTCATGGTTGACTTCACAGAGGTATTTATATGAGTAGATATCACCCTGATCGAGCACCGTGATGGAAGTGATGCGTCCTGGCTCTTGGATTTCCAGCTGCTCCACCTCAGCAGGAGGCAGATCCTCCAGCCGGCCGTTCTTCTCTCTTTTCCAGGAGAACTGGACCAGAGGAGGAATCATTCCTGAGGCCTGACACACCAGCGCGCTCCTCCCCCCGAGGCTGGTACTGTTTGCTGCTTTGTAAGCGGTCACCTCCGGCTTCACTGTCGGCTTATCTAAAGTTTAACAGCAACAAGCAGCACAGACACACATTCACACCGTCAGCATGGACCATAATCATAATCACTCATATACACATACACAGTATGTTCACCCACTTATGTACTGCACATATGTTCCATGATTTATCACAAATCTTCTGCAGTTTTATATGTGCATCTTAATAACAGAATTTATTTTTATCTATATACAGAAAATTTAAATTATGTCATTCATAATCATTATTATCCAAACTTCCCTGTGAATAAATGGAAATATACAGATTATGTTGGTATAATAGCTACAGTGAAATATTACTATGAATTATGGCTAAAGAATCCACAATACTAAGTATATGATAAATGCATTACTAGTCTACAATGACATAAAGATACATATTAGTTTATATGTGTATCCTGGGAAATCACTGGCCTGTTTTTTCCAGATTAGACTAGTTTGTGGTTTTATCTGAATCCCCTGCAGGTGAGGTCATGAAGTCTTGTCGTCAAAGATAAAGGAAACGTCTCTTAAATCCAAGACAATGTTTGACTTGCTCTGCTGCACCTTTAGAAGTGCAAAGTAATTTCTGCTCATGTGTATGTTTTCCTGCTCACCGGCTCACTATTAATTCTTTTTATTTTTTTTATCTACTTTTTTAAAACAACCGTTCAGCAAACCAGCTGTCTCTGCTGTCTTTGAATATATTTGCTTCATGTTTGTCATAGTTGCACAATCACTAATCAAATATATTCAAAGATAACTTCCTCTCATTCTAAATAGCAAATTTCACATTTGTGCTGTTTTGATGAAAAATCATTGAAACAATACACAACAACTACCAAGAGATATTTTCTAGCACTTAACTCACTTTAACTGTTAAGTCTAATATTTAGTAATAAATCATTTAAACCTTCTCTAATGAAGGCTGAGGTACGGCACCGGCAGCAGGCTCTTCCTAATTGTCGCATCCTTCATACAGTTGTTTTATTTGGTCATGTTAAACATATAAAATTGAAGAAATATATTAACACCATGAACCAAAATGTAATTATATGTATGTGTGGAATATTTTTGTGCCACATCATTTTACAGATGTTACTACACCACCTTCTAATCACAGGATTCTTCACAGTTTGATTATTTTTTAAACAAGCTGCTTAAATGTGGCTCATCGTTCCATCAGCAAAACCTTTAAATGCAAAGTGATAAAAAATAGAAACATTTTTAAAAGCCCATTTGTATTTTGCGGTGCATAACCTTCAAGTTAGATGTAACAATTCAACTGCTCAATAATATATAGATAAATATATAGCAGAGTCTTACGTCTCATTAGAGCGGAGCTGTTTGAGACCAGAGAACAAGTTACTAAATTATTTCTTACACTTCTTTAAATGTCTGCAGGGTTTTAAGATGGAAAGCACACTACATAAAAAAGCTTAAATACATTTCCGACAGCTTTTAGATTGTAGTTTTAAAGTTAGACTAAGTGCACTGCTGTTTTAAAACTATTTTACAAACATTTAAAACATTTAAAGGCACAGAATATAAACTTTTAAGTAAAAAAACAAACAAAAACAGTAAAATCAAGTAGGTGAAGTACATTTTAAGCCTTACCTGTTACATAGAGCTTTGTTCCAGAGCCAAAGATGAGATAGCTGTTGGACTGCTCATCGGATCCTCCCACACTGAAACATACTGATACAAAAACCTTTCTGCCGTTGAGTTTGTCAGCTGAGGTGAATGAGCGTAAAGTATCATATTTCACTTCCAGGAAAAGTCACATGGAGTTTATCATTTTGGCTGCTAACTGCCTTGAAACTGTGCTTCTCTTGGATAAACTACAAGTAACTTTTTATATTTTGTTTTTATTTACCTTTTTCTGAACCATAAAAGTTTTCTTTTAAAAAAAATTACAGATTAGTGGGTTATTATTATTTATCATCACCAATTTCCTCAAATCCAGAAAAATAATAATATGGATGATCTCTGGGATTTCATATAAAGGAGAATCACTGTGTGTGTGTGTGTGTGTGTGTGTGTGTGTGTGTGTGTGTGTGTGTGTGTGTGTG